CACAGGGGACTTGGGAATTTTCTCAGAGATTATTTTATTAAGCTATTTTATTACAAGTGATTAATTAAATATTTAATAGATTGTAGATGGAAAATGTGATAATAGTGAGGTGATGTGACCCATAGAAAAAAATAGCTGTCCCAAGTCTTAAAATATCATGGGGGTTGGGGCGTTGCCCAGGGAAGTGTCCAGAGGTCCCAGATCCAGCCTGCTGGGGTTTTGGACTTCATGTGCCCTTCTGCTATGGACTGAAAGCTTGTGTCCCCAGAACTCACATCTTGAAACTCAAATCCCTGATGCGGTGGTATTAGGAAGTATGGCCTTTGGGAGGTGATTAATTTCCAATGAAGTCATAAAGGGGGACACCCATGATGGGTTCGTCCCCTTTAAAAGTGACCAGGGAGTGTGCTCTTCCTCTCTCTCTGCTCCGTGAAGACAAAGTAAGAAGGCAGCTGTATGTAGACCAGGAAGAAAGGCCTCACTGGAACCCACCCATGCCAGCACCCTGATCTCAGGCTCCACAACAATGAGAAATAAATGCCTGTCTTTTAAAGCACCCAGTCCATGATACTTTGTAGTAGCAGAGCCGACTGAGGCCCTCCTACCCAGTACACGCCCTCCTCAGCAGCAGGTGCCTGGGAGGGAAGATGAGCCATGCCTAAGGGGGCAGCGCCTGTGGCCTGGGATCACCACCCTCCTCCACTACTCACCAAGCCTGTGAAAGTGGGTAGGTTGCCTGAGCTCTCTGACGTCCACTTTCTCATTTCCAAGTGAGGGGTACACAGATGACCCATCTCAAACAGCCGCTGCAGAGCCTACATGGGGTCGCGTTCATGAGGCACTTGCACCAATGCGGTCGTGGCCACTGAATAAACGAGCACCTCTTAACCCTGATGCTCATGGGCTGTGGGTCTGGCACCTCCTTCCCAGACTTGTGTGGGATGCCCTGCCAATGCCTGACACTGTATTTTACTGTGGAAATTTATTTTTCAATTGTAAATTTTTCAATTGTAAAAAGTATATATACCATATATGCCACTGAGTGAACATGTGTGCCGTGTGGCCATCTAATGACAAATGACTGAGCAAGTAGAGCAACAAATCTGCATCCAATTTTGCATGAAGCTTGAACATTCCTCTACAGAAACTATTCTGACGATTCAGAAGGCTGCACCTATGGGCAACTGGTGACTGGCAGCTTCATCACGAGAACACACCTGCTCAAGCATCACATCTAGTGCAGGGTTTTTGGTGAAACATCAAATCACCCAGCTGACTCAGCCCCACTAAAGCTACAACCCAGATTTGGCGCCCCTTACAACTTCTGGCTTTTCCCGAAACTAAAAGTACCTTTGAAAGGGAGGAGATTTCAGACTGTCAATGAGATTCAGAAAAATACAACAGGACAACCGTTGGAAATTGGGAGAACTGTGTGAGGTCCCAAGGAGCCAACTTTGAAGGGGAGTGAGACATCATTGTCCTATGAACAATGTTTTTTGTAGCTTGTATCTTTTTTAATAAATGCCTCTCTTTTTCATATTACATGGCTGGATACCTTTTGGACAGATTTATTTTTATATATATTTAAAAAAATAAAAGTTTCAGGTGTCCAACATAGTGATTAGATATTTATTTACCTTACAAAGTGATCACCCAGTAAGTCTAGCACATTTCTGACACCCTATGTATTTATTACAGTATTACTGACTAAAACTCCTGTCAGAATGGCTCTCATCAATAAAGCAATAAACAAGTGTTATGGAAAAAAGAGAATCCTCATGCAATGTTGGTGGGATTGTAAACTGGTGCAGCCACTGTGGAAAACAGTATGTAGGTTTCTCAAAAATTAAAAATAGAACTACCATTTTCTACTTCTGAGTATCTACCCAAAGAAATCCAAAACACTAATTTGCAAAGATACATGCACTCTTATGTTCATTGCAGCATTACTTACAAGAGCCAAGACATGGAAATAACCTAAGCCTCCACTGATAGGTGAATGGATAAAGAAGGTATAGTTCATACGTACAATGGAATATTACTCAGCCATAAAAACAAGAATGAAATCTTACCAGTGTGACAACATGGATGGGTCTAGAGGGTATTATGCTGAATGAAATACATCAGACAAAGACAAATACTATATGATTTCACTTATATGTGGGATCTAAAAATACAAAATAAATAAACAAAAACAAAGAGAAGCAGCCCTGGCTGGGTGGCTCTGTTGGTTGGAGCATTGTCCCACACACCGAAAGGTTCTGGATTCCGTCTCCAGCCTGGCCACCAATGGATGGGAGGCAACCAATCGATGTTCTCTGTCTGTCTGTCTCTCTCTCTCTCTCTCTCAAATCAGTAAACATATCTTTAGGTGAGGATGAAAAAGAAGAAGAAAAGCAAAAACAAACTTATAGATTGAAAGAACAAGTTGACCGTTGCCAGATGGGCAGGGGCCGGGGGTCTGTGGAAACAGCGAAAGGGGCTGAAGAGCACGATTGCCAGCTGCAGAAACAGCAGTGGGGGTGGGAGGCGCAGCACGGGGCCCAGGCACAAGTGTCGCTTCTATGCTCCAGGGCCGGGTTGACGGTTCCTGTGACACTGTTAACAGTGAAGCATTTTCTTCCGCATCAGGTCTGATGTGGAATCCTGCCACTTAAACCCGGAGGGTGTGCGGCTGTGCTGGCTGAGGCTGGCACAGGGCTTAGAGCCGCTCTGTGCCCTCCTTCCCTGCTTCTTGAAGGGAACTATGTGAGAAGCCTTCCTCTAGGCTGCCACTTTCCTGCCTGCTCCCAAGGTCTTCCTCCTAGGACAACGCAGTGTCATTGGTTAAGTGTCTGCTTCCTAAGTAACAATCTCACTGTGGTCTTGGTTTTTAAGGTCACTTGATGGGAGTTTTAGGTTTCCCCAGGCTCTTCAGTCTTTTCTTTTTCTTACTATTTTTTAAAATTAATTAATTAATTAATTTACTTTTTCTTTTTTTTTAATTGTTGTTCAAGTACAATTGACTCCACTTTCCCACCACCACTCCCCCCCCACCAACCCCCACCTCCCACCCTCAATTCTACTCACCTTTGGCTTTGTCCTTTGGTCTTCATACATGTTCCTTGACGACCCTTCCCTGTCTTTCCCTCATTATCCCCCTCCCTAGTCTTACATACATTTACAGTCTGCAGGTGGCCGCTCTGCAGGCACCTAATCCCATCAGGTGGACGTGAACTTTGCTATTTAACTCACAGAAGCCCACATTACGACCCAAATCTTGGGATGTACCTCTGTTGCTCAATATATAGCCAACCTCTGCGAATGAAATCTAATCTTTATTGTTCAATAAGGCTATACATATAAATAAATCTACAAATCAGGAAGAAAATGCTTTGTAATATTTTCTGTCCTGGTTTTTGGTTTGGAAAATGGGTCACAGTAGCTATGGGAGCAATATAAGAAAAGACAGTGTGGAACCTGAGTATTCCTGTTCCAACCAGCTGCAGATTCAAGGGCCACATGTTGGTAAAATCCATTTGCTTGGATTTCTCTATTGCTTTTCTGAGTCTTCAGCTTGATATTTCTTTTTTCTTCTGTCACAGCCTTACTGAGATATAATTCTTATACCACATAATTCATTTATTTAAGTATACAATTTCGTGGTTTTTAATGTATTCAAAGTTGCGCATCCCTCACTGCAATCAATTCTAAAACATTTTTATATCCCGAAAAGAAATACCACATGTACTAGCAGCCACTCTCCATTTCCCCCGAATGTTAATCCCCCAGCCCACCCCACTGCCGGCAGGCAACCGCTGATCTGCCTTCCATATGTACAGAGAGCTCATCTAAGTGGAATAAAAACATGAGGTCTTTTGTGGGGGACTTTTTCACCTAGCATAGTGTTTGGAAGGCTCATCCATACTGTGGCATGTATCAGTACTTCATTTCTTTCCATTTTCAACTAATACTGCATTGTATGGCTATGCTGCATTGTGTGTATCCACTCTCTAGTTGAGGGGTGTTTGGGCTTCTCCACTTCTTGGCTATTTTGAATAACACTGCTATGATTTGTGTACAAGTTTTTTGTAGAGATTTTTGAATTTGAACTTCTACAGAGAGAATAAACAATATTAATAGTTAGATTTATCAAGTGTTTACCATGCACAAGGTACTGTGCTGAGCACATCACACATACTATTCATGTAATCTTTGCAGTACCCCAAGGAATTGAATCTCTTCCCATTTTACAAATGAGGACACTGGGGTCCCATAGCTAATACAAGGTGGAACTGAGATTTGAACCCAGTCCGTATGATACCATAACACTGGTCTTTAATCCTGCTTACAGAAGTCGGCAGCTCTTGGCTGCTCCATTAACTAAACACCAATCACACTGATTAAGTCACACAGATTAAATTTATGCAGTGTGCCACTTACCTGTATTATCTTTTTGAATCCTCACACCAACTGCATGTCCAGCGAAGACAAGTTCAGACAGACAGCACAGCTGCCCGGGCGATGTGGCCCCGCAGAGCCGGGGCCTAGGGAGCCAGCCCCCAGCAGGTCCTGGCGCTGCTCCTCTGCACACCGGCCCTCCACTTGGCCTCCTTTAACCATCCCTCGCCTCAGGGAGAGCTTCTTGTAGGCCAAAAGTAACATTTCTGGAGGACAGTTCCTATCTGCCTTCTTTGCACACATGTACCTATGGGTGCACATAGATATGTATCCCAGGGTGTCACCATGCTTGGGCCTAGGTACCTCATACAGACAGAGCCCCAGTGGCCTGCAGTGACATGAGAAGGCCCCTCAGGTGGATCTACGTTATAATTCATTGTTACACCTGACTGCAAACCAAGACGCTCAGGATGTGCGGACTTACCTCAGGGACCGTTCTGAGGGTGGCTGGGTGGAGGGCAATGCAGGAGCTTCCTGGAAGAAGGCGGCAGTGGTGGGAGACTGCAGGGGGAGGAGGGACGTGGAGGATGCCAACTGTCTCACTGGTTGCCTGCCCACAGCTGCTATCTTGGATGACCCCATGGAGTGCAGCAGAGGGGAGCGGCTCTCCATCACCCTGGCCAAGAACCGCATCAACCGTGCTCCTGAGAGGCTGGGCAAGGCCAAGGTTGAAGTGGACATCTTTGAGCTTCTCAGAGACAGCGAATATGAGACTGCAGAAACCAGTACGTAAAATGGGCAGAGCTGCCCTCTCCCTTTCTTGCTGTCTGAGGAGGGGCTGGTGGTGTGCATGAGCTGACCCATCACCGGGCCTGTGATGCAGGCACTCCCGAGGGAGGGAGAGAAACATCCCAAGAGGCCCTGTGCTCAGTCCGGATGAGATTCCCAGGCTTCACTGTGAGTCGCGAGTAGAATAGAATTAAGACAGGCTACTCATTCATTCATCCATTTACCCATTCATTGATTTCTTTATACATTGATTCATTCATCCTCCTGGACATTTTGTACACACATCTCCAAATGAAACATTGTATGTGATTAAGATAAGAGAGATGCGGCCAGCTCAAGGGTAGCTTGGTCATTGCACATCTGATTGCGTGTCTTGCTTTCTGGTGCTGAGGGCAGGCAGCCTTGCGAAGAAACTGGGCTTTGGAATGGAGCTCGGTTTTTCATTCTATGGGTAACCTCAGTTTCTTCGTCTTTAAAATGAGAAGACTAGGATCTACTCTGAAAATTGTGAGATTTAAGGGACTGAAAGTATAGGAAAACCCTCTGTAAGTTAAAGTGCTTTATAAACATACATAGTAGGTCACTCAGGTCACATGTAAAGAGCCCCAACTCTGTGCTGGGCACTGCTTTAAATCCTCCCAACAACCCAGGAGTTCAGGGCTATTTTCCCCCTTCACAAAAGAAACGGAGGCTGATAGATTAGAGCATTAAAGAAACTGGCCTTCTATGTGCAGATCGAGCAGTGTCCTGATCTGGGCAATTAGTATTGCATGAGAAGAAACATGTTTCCACTGGCCCAGGCATAAATGGCAGGCTATCCAGAGAGTGTGGGAAGGCGGAGGCAGTAGCCTCTCTCTGTCTCACAGCTTCTTTAATGCTCTAAACTGTGGTTGTCTAATAACTGGCCTGACCACAGAACTAGTCAATGGCTGAGCAAGTTCTGGATCCTGAACTCTCTTCATTCACCTGCGAGTCCAGGGCTCAATGCGCTACACTTCCCCAGGAATTCTCTGGCATGCTGCTGGGGTTACCTTGATAACTTCATGGGATGAGCTTCCAAGTGGCTGGCAGCTAGTAGCTAAGCTGGAAACGAACAGCTGCAGTTTAGAGGGAAGGGGAGGGGCCCCTTAGTGCGGAGAGATGATAGCATCTATTCCCTGAGACTTAGATCCCCCATCTCCTCCCTTTCCAACCCAAATCAACTTTTAACAACGCTCAATGGCAAAACTGGCAAAACAAACAAAAGAGGACCTTGCTCCGCCACCTGTGTCGGATGTCGAGCCTTCTATGTGTGGATCCAGCAGTGCTCTGAGCTGGGCTATTAGTTTTGCATGAGAAGAAACATGTTTGCGCTGGCCCAGGCCTAAGAGGCAGGCTATCCAGAGAGTGTGGGAAGGCGCAGGCGCTGCCCTCTGTCTTTGTCTCACAGCCTCTTTGATGCTCTTTCAGTACTGGGTCCATGGTCTTTTCTCTCTGCTAGTTTGGCTTATTCATCACATGCCTGCCCCTTGATGGCCACCCAGGTCCAATTTAATCTTTGTTTATTCATTCAGGAAACTTTGTGAAGCATTTACTCTATTCCAGGCATGACTCAGGGTATCATGCTCTGGGAACAATGCCAAAAAAATAAGATGGACACAATCCCTGCCCTCAGGTGGTTTGCAGTCCCTTTGGTGTGCACATCAGTGGCAGTTGCGATCAGTGCCTCTTGGTCTGGATTTACAAGATAGAGAGTCAGGTTTGTTCAGCTTATTTGCTGTGGCTGGTCTCACAAGTCGCAGGGGTTGGCCAAGTAGTCTAATAACAATGCTTGCAAGAGTGCCTACCCTAGAGACTGGGGGCAACTTCTTACCGTACAGAAGAAGACCTTGGAGGCCAGCAGGACCTGTGGACACAGGTTCCTCCAGAAGAGGGCTTGGGGGAGCAAGTACCCGAAATTGTCATTCATCTATTCACTCCGTTAATTTTTACTTAGTGAGTATCTCTTATACACTCTCCTAGGCAGTGGAGATTCAGCAGGGACAAAGAGAAATCCTAGTTGTCATGGAGGTTATGTTGTAGTACACTGGAAGGAAGGTTTAACTTTCTCAGGATCTTCCAAACGAAATCAGAAATGGCAGCAGTGACTGTTTACAGACCTGCCAGCCAATATGTGGTGCTTCCTTTGTCCAGGAGGGCAGGTCTCAGACTAGGGTCCAGATTTCTAAATAGTTCCTTAATCTATACTTTAAAAACCAGATCTTCCTTCCTTTTCTTTGGTTCTCCCAGGCCTTCCTGACAGAATAGGGAGCACAGGTTGCTCATTGCTGGTGGCGATCATTAGCAAGTATAAATTTTCTCTTTCGTGACCTAAGCATCCTGGCTCAATAGAATGAATACATCTAAAATATTAAGCCAGATGAATCAGGGGAATAAAGGAAACTGACATCTTTATTCCACATTACACAGCTCTGGGGCATCTTTCTAGAGCCCTTCTTCTAAGCACCAAATATTTTATGAGCAAGTGGCCCTTGGTTCAACTTTCACATCTCAATGTATTTGAGGCATGATTAGCATTTGTTAGAAAGAAAGGGCTTTTGGATCTTTTTACCTCAAAGGCCTTTTGTCTGAAGCCAGAGCTGCTCCCCTACAATGGATTTTAAACACTACCCACGTAGTTCTTAGGAAGGTTCCAGCCCAGCTCTTTCTCTCCCAAAGTAGGGGGGACAGAGGAGGGTGGGGCTGGACTGGACTTCAGTGGCAGAATGGGGGAGGAGGTGGGAGGGAGATAGGAGGCCTGGATGTAGGAGGAGCTATACTCTGTGATCCGTACTTTGGTGAGACAGTGTGGTATAAAGAGTGGGAGCATGGGTTTCAGAATCAGACTAAACTAGTTTAAATCCTGGCTCTACTGCTGGCTGGCGGTATGGCTGTGGATGGTAGAATCGCCTCCTAGGGCCGGTGGGAGCATGACATGAGACAGCGGAGGCGAGGTGCGTAGCACCGGGCACATAACAGGTATTCGTTCAGCAAGTGGCAGCCATAGATTTTGGTGCTGGCGTTGTTCTCTCCCCCTCACCTGGAACAGGCTTCCTCCCACCTCCTACCGTCACCTCTCTCTTCCCTGCTTCAGAGTTCAGTCATCCTTACCTGGCAGCGTCATTTATTTCCCAGGCTCCTCTCCAATGGCATTTGTTTCTGTTTTTTGTCACATGCCTCCTGGTGCATCCCTTGTGATTGCATATCCCCCTTCTCTTTCAAGGTCTCAGGCTTGATGTGTCTGACAGCTCTGGGCCTTTGGAAGCTATGGTGAGCCAGTGGAAGCCAGCCACTGCCCAGGGCACGGGCTGTGTCTTCCCTGGACTGGCGGCCCAGGGCTAATTTGCATGGTTAACTTTAAACTATTTTAGTGTCTCTGAGGCCCTGAACCACATCGCAGATTCACACCTGTCCCCTGTGACATCTGCTTCAGGAAGATGAAAGAGATCCTAGTAGTGCTGCCCTTGGTCACAGAAAGTCCAGGCTCTGCACCGGGGAAGTAGCAGTTCTACAATATACAGTTGCATCTTCTTTTAGCAACAGACAAGCTGCAGAAAGCTCTGCACAAATCACACTTACGGATCCACACGGAGGGAGGGTATATCAATCAAGGGGAACAACAGCAATTTCAGAATCAAAGATTATGAACTGTAAAGAAACTAAAGATTCTGGAGTCTAGGTTTTAACCTCCTTCAATGGCTGAAAATAAGGCTGGGACATGGGAAGTATCACACGGAGCATTGATTAATAACAAACCTGGACACTGAGAAGAGACAGTAGAAAATCACTCCTGTTTCTATTTGGTTCACATGGATGTCCATGGAGTGAGTTCATTTAAAGAGAGCACCCTGCATAAAGCTTCCCCAAGCCCACGCCTGATTCCTTCCACTGCTCCCCTCCACCGTCATTGCCTCAGGCTTCTTGATGTTTGACCTCCAACTCTCGACACAGCCCACAGATCTGAAATCAGACAGACGGACTAGACCTGTTAGGTCTTAGGCCCTCCAGCCTGGTCCTCCTCTCCTTACCTTCCGTATCTTTCATCCACCGCAGACTTTTTTGTGCAGGGAGCCCCCATGGGCCTTGCCCTCTCCTATTCCTCTAGATCAGTGTGTCTCCTGAGGCTAATCCTCTTAGAGGGTAGCACTTGGGAGGCCAAGCGTGCGGTCGGCCGCCGGCCCTGTTTCCCCCCGGGAGCCCGGAGGTGCGCGCTCAGTGGACCGGGAAGGGGCAGGGCCTGTTTGGGTGCTGGGCGGTTCCTCCTGCACAAGCTCCCAGGCTTCGTGCAGGTTCCATGGGCATCACCCTGGTGATTTGGAGCCGCGTCTAATGAGGGCCCGTTTCCTTGCATCAGTTCAACAGAATGGATCCAAGTCAGCATAGGGAATAAAAGACAGAATCCAGGAGAGAAAGGCATAGTGATGGGCGGTTCGGCAGACGTTGCCTGCTCCCCTTCTCCGAGTTACCAGCATCATTTGTGGTGGTCTCGGAAATGCATTGAATTTTGGACCCTGAACCCACCTGGTTCAGCCCCCTCCTTTTACAGGAGGGGGAACTGGGACTCGTGATCTTCCCAGGGGGCAGTGAAAACCACGCACCTGAGAGGCGGCATGGGTCGCAGGAGCTCTGCTGAGGGCTTGCCTGTGAGTGACTCAGACAAGGGCAGAGGGAGGTCAGGCCCAGGTCCAAGGTGCTGCCAAGGGGTCAGGTGAGGCCTCCAGGCCAGGCCTTGGCGTGTGGGAGAGGCGACAAGAGGGAGGCAGGCATGCGTGTAGAGAGTCAGACCTGGAGCAGTGCTTGTCCTAGGGTGAGCTCTCAGTAAATGTCCCCTATCGTTCATAGGAGTAGTAGTGGCATAATTAGTATAATAACTCCTCCCTCATGGGGTGACCGTGCGGATTTGTGGTGGTAAGCATGTCCCCTGGCCTGTGCCTACATGTGGGGAGCTTCCCCTCCCCAGATGGATGGTGCTGCTGCC